CAGAAATTATTTACAAACCTATGGCTCTACATAATTTTTAAATATTCTTATGTTATAAACCTGAGAAATTTTAAGTTTTGTGATAATTTGATATATGCATAATGTTTGAATAGCCGCCTGACAGCAGTTTACTAATGAATTTTTCTATCAAGAAATCCTTATAACATTGAAGCAAATTGCTCATGTGCTGGACTAGTTTAAGGAATCTTAATTTTCTTAAATGGAACTGTTATTTGAGTTCAAATGCCAAAATAGTTTCTTATTTGTTGTCATAAGTTTGTTTTGTTATTACTGGCTCAGGGCAATCTGATTTCAGTTAAATCAAATATCACAGAAGGTTTTTTCATTGGTTTCCAGAAAGCAGTATTGTACGCTGGCCAAAATGCCCCAGTGTAAATAAATAAGTCTGCTCAAAACAAATTGCAAGTTTCAGTGCAATGTATCCTGAGCTTGTCTGCCACCAAATACAGTACTGATTTTTGACACCCAAGAGAGTGAGCTCTCTCTGGAGATCTATTGAGGTCTACCGCAAAGAAAACCTAAGTGCTGTAAGAAGACAGCAGTGCTCAGCCAGCAGATGTCTCCCATACTGGCAAGCAGAACTGATCTAGGGAAGAATAAGGAAAACCTTTGATACCAGTTTTCTTTTACTGGATGTATTTGACGGATGCTTGTTTTATGCCACCTCATAATTCTAAAAGATGTGAGAACTAATGACTAATTCAGCATGGGCAGTGACTATTTTTCTCCTTGCAAGCCAAGAAGCCATGCATATACATTTCAGATTTTGGCACCAGCTCTTCTTTTAGAAGAGATTGTAGAAAGATCCGGACTTACCTCCAGCTGTCTATGCATTAGATTGCATAATACAGTTTTGACTGGTTAAGAATGAAGGAGGGCCAAAGTGATCTTGTTTGTTGTTTCTTGAAGAATATCTATATGATCATCCAGATTACTTTAATTTTGTTGTAGTAGAGCTGTACTTCTGATTTATACTTAGTTTACAGCACTAGATAAATAATGAGTATTTTCTCTAAGGTTACCTTATATACAGGGAGACTGACAGAAATAAGACTGATTTCAAGTGCCTGAGCCTCAGATTGTTTTTTGTTTTACCACAGGCAGTGCTGAGAGCACGTCTATTGCTAACCTTGACCAGAGTACTCAGGTCAAGTGCCACAATGGTACAAGTAGACTTGTACCATTATATCTGACCTCTAGAGTACACTGAAACAATAGGGCACTGCAATTCATCCCAGAGTTCTTGCTCCCTGATAATCAGGATGGGAACCCAGACAAAAAGTGATGAGAATCTGTTTTGTTCATGCCTAGGTTCACTTCAGTGGAGATAACTGTGCTGGGATGTAGGGTGCAAGAGAATGGTGTGCACATTGGTCCTTACGCTAATGCTAAGTGGGGATGCAGCCAAGTTTTGCACCAGGATGAGAGAGCTAGACAGAACACAAGAAATTCCATCTCAACATGAGGAAAAACTTCTCTACTTTGAGGGTGACAGAGCATTGGAACAGGCTGCCCAGAGAGGTTTTGGAGTCTCCTCTGGAGATATTTCAAACCTGCCTGGATGCAGTCCTGTGCAACCTGCTATAGGTGAACCTGCTTTGGCAGGGGAGCTGGTCCCTTCCAACCCCTACCATTCTGTGATTCTGTGAAAAGATGTGGGATGCCCACAGGATCCACTGAGCCCACAGTACTGAACATCATCAGCATGTGTCTACTTAGATGAGAATTGATTGAGGTAGAGAAGGACAAATACAAAATAGTTTCTTAATTCTGACATGCATATTATTCCACAAAAATACACTAATGGTTCATGCCAAGGTCAGACCTTGTGAGTACAAAGTACAAATGTAGTGAAAGTTTAATAAAACAAAAAATTTATAAATCAATAAAACAAAAAAATTGTGTATCATCTATTTATCAAGTCCTTTAAAGAACAGCAAAAAATAGTGAGAAGTTTATCTACTGTAACATTTTTTATATTCTTTTGTATTCTTCTTGTATGACATATAAAAATTTCCTATCTTTCTTTAACTTCCCCTGGTTCTCTGATAGAAGCTATGATTGTCCACCTGTGAAACTATAACTTTCTCACTACAGTCACTTTTGTCAGAAGTAATGACTATCTAAGCCTGGTGAGAATTAAGAAACTAAATTTGACTGGGAAGATGATGCTGTTGTAATTCACATCTCAGTTCCTGAAGGAAATGGAAACAAACAATACACAGAATATAGAGACATTTACTGCATTTTTGATAGAAGCCTTGATAGTCTAAAGAATACCCCAGTCTGTGAATACACATCTACCTAAAGAACATAGTGTGCAACCCGACAGTGACAGGAGAAATACTACAATCTTCTTTCAGATTCTGTCATCAGAGGAAAATATTTCTCTAGTGCATTAGACTTAGGCTTACTTTTAGGATGCTTTATAATTTATATAGAATAAAAATATCTTTACAATAAGCCAATAAAATTTTCAATATAGTTCAAGAAAAATAGCCATAAAGTATAAAATCAGTCTGAGACTTCAAATGTGCTAATATAACAGTTACAAGTCTCAATTAAAAAAAAGTATTCCCTACTTTTGACCTTGTTCTGTATTTTTCGCTGAAAAAATGGCACAGTAACAAAGCTTTATTTTAATATGAACATCTGACAAGTTTTAGGGTAAATTTAATTTTGGGAATGTTGGGAAAAAGTATTAATTTAATTTTCCTAATCTTTTCCCTAGTCCTCCTATTCTGTCAAAAAGCTAATGCAAAATTTGATGATGATAAAGAGATTTTGTTTCCCTTGCTTACAATGCTTCCATGAGATCATTGATATCTCTCTAACTTAGTTTTCAGTGAAGATATATAGACTGTCATTGTTTTGCTTCAGTGGCCTCCTATATCACAGTCACTGAAAGATGAAAACAAAATAGAGGAAACTATCTTGATTTTTCTTATGCTAGGCAGGTTGGAAAGCAAGTTGGTCTTTGTTTCTTAGGTGGAAACAAATTATGTTTAACATAACATTAAAACTTCCCTGGAAGTTCAGCACTTTTGTATAATAACTGGTTCTTGTCTATGCAAACACAAATGTGCTTTAACTGCGTTGGAAGCAACCCTGTTAGAGCTGACCTTCCTCCACTACTGTGTACACCGTGTATCATCTACAGATTAAATTCTTTGAGGCATAAAGTGATCATCAGTTTATTCGTAAAGTCTTTTAGACTTCTTTGTGAGGGATCCCTTCTTTTTTGATATAGTTTTCAACTATGACCACAAGATTTACAACTTTTGAAAGTCGAGGAATTTATCTGTATTTCTTTTTGAGAAGTGTAATTTCTGCCTTATGACTCACAGCACCATTTAAAGACACATAGCTTTTAATTAAAACATACTTTCATATATTCATTTTCAGGTACAAGCGATCTTACTGATGTCATAGGCACAACTCCGCTACATTTAGTTAAGATCAGGTCTCCACATACTTGGAGACTTGTAAAATAGACTTTGCTTCCCTCAAAGTCACCATATTGAATCACAGAAGGGCCCAGAAGGGACCTTAAGAGCTCTTCCAGTCATTTACTGCCCCAGGGCCTTCATTCTTCATTGCTTATCTATAAATATCTTCATGTACATTCATTCCCCTTAAGACATGTTTTATGTCTTATTCCATTTTTCCTACATGTATAGCTTGCAGGCTATCTGTCAAAACCCTCCTAAATTCAGCAGTAATGTATGCCTGTAGCAAATGTACAGAGTTACATACAGAACATACAGGTATAGATTTATATGAATGAGGAAGGGGGAATGGTTATGGCTCCAGGATTATGAGAGATTACTTATTTTCAGCTAGTAGTAATTTTAGAAGGGTATGGGTTATGTAAAGAATAGGATTAAAGACATGAAAATGTGGTATTTACTGGCACCTCAATGAGCAGTGGTAAGCAATTCTGGCAGAGCAGCACAGACAGAATAAATAGCTCAGTAACATTTTCTACATAACCCATCAAAAATCTGGAAACCTTTGAGAGAGATGGATATCTCAGTAGACTAACTATATCAGGTCCTTGTTATATAGGAGGTATTTTCCCAATTTTAATGACCATTCTGAACTCTTAATACTTCTGCCTAGGGTCTGCAGCCTTAATCAGTTTGGGGCAACTGATTAATTTAATATGTATGCTTTCTGTTCCATCATTGCAGATGTCAATGAAAATATTGAATACTGCTGAATATTGAAAATATTGCATAGGACTACTCTTGAAAGAGCTCCATAGCCATTCGTAACTACTCCTTCAGTAGCTTCTCATTTATTTTTGCACATATTTTTAGAAGTTTTTATTCTCTCCTGAACAGTCGCATTTTGACAAGCAAGATAAGCCACTGATGCCATGATTCCACAAATAACTTAAAGGAAACCCATTCTTTTACAGCAGAATCTTGCAATGTTTGGTTGATGAAGTTTTATTATTGATTTTATTGGTATTCCTGTTCATGGACAACGTCTTGGATCAGTAAGCCTTGTAAAAGACACTGTTCAGAAAGAGGCCAGTAGTTGAACATGATGTATAGAGTCACCAGAGTAAGAAAAACTCCACTTATGGATTTAGGAGGCTGACAGGCAGACAGAAGGGTAAATGAAGTTGTAGGAAGGTTCTGCAGGGGATTGCTACTGAATGAAGCATTCAGGTACAGGTTATGTTATAAATCTGGTAGTTGCCAAAGTAATATGGAAATTACCAGAATGTTAATATCTACTATTGTAAGTATTCATTCAGAAAGAAAATATGTCAAATAGTTCCATTCTAGTCTTGCTTCTCAATATAAAATACTTTGGACATTTTAACCTAAAACTCCACCTTTTTATTAATGTAAATGAACTGATAAACAATGAGATTAGGACTAAATACTATTAGCAGCACTTACTCAAAACCGCATTCCTACTTGCGTTTAAAGCACTGTTTTCCATGAAGTTAAGAAGTGTTTTACCTTTGCAGAGGAAAGGCTGATGATATGTTGATCTTTTTCATTTGTCACAATTTCCACAATACTATGTCGGTGTCCTGAGAGCTTCCCTGTAGGCCTACTATTAATAGCAGGATGCCACAAACGAAGGACTTTGTCATGACCTGAAAAAATTTATGCGTGTATATATATAGTCAGAAAGACTGAATAGTCACTGGCATTACAAATAAGCTTCATAATGGAGAGCTTAGTGTTGATAAGTCTCTGCTTTCACCGCGCAGGCAACTCCCACATAAGGACGTGAATTTTTCATTCTAATGGCTGGATTATTTTGCTAGAGGAACGTCAGGGACAGTGGATGCGACTACATGCACTAGACCCATAGGACCAGAATACTGTTTTAGAAAGAGAACTGGGGCTTGGATTTTTTTCCTTTAAAGATACAATTTACAAAAATGTCAAAAAAAAATGTGTCCGCATAGCCAGGAAATGAAGGGATGACCACATCTATGGAAGAAGGTGGGTGTGCAGAACAGGAAGGGGAGCAGACATGAAAGCTGAGGGCAGATAGGAGACAATAACTGCTGATGAGTGATTTTGTGTCTTGAAGTAAATGAGAATTAGGACTTTCATGTTTATTTGTATGTTCAAACATTACATTTACCTACAATTTGGGGAATAATCCTTGATTGCATTATAGATGAATCTTTTGATACTATTTTCACAATAGTTTCCATAAATATTTCAAAACACAAAGATGTTAAAAATGTATTAGTAAGCTCCTGTGTTTACATACTGATGTAAACACAACTGTACCCATTGCTCTGAAATATTTCATATTTTTCACAGGAGTTTCAAGAGAACATGGGCACAGTTTACATTTGACATTAATTATTTTATATTTTAACTTTCAGTTCCTGGCAAATATTGCAATTGTATGAATTGTACGCAATTAGCTGAACACTCTATTTTGACACACAATAAAAGAAACAGCCACATTTTATCTAGACTTCAGTCTGAGTTTTAATTTTCTCTCAGCTTAAAGTGAAGTACAGAAAGCCAAAAGAACAGAGTAGGAAGTACATGCCCAAAAAGAACATACACCAAACCTCAAGACTGTGAAGCTTGGCTCAGTTTTGTTAGCAAAGAGAAGAGTTAAAGGTCAGCTCTCGCAGTGTGCTCTCCAGGGATTTTCCTTAAGCTTGTTCACCTACTGTCATTGGTCAGTCCCTCCCTCTCTCTCTGCAGAGATCTATTCCTTTTCTTCTTAATAGACATCTACTCCTTTCATTCTTAATACAGCAATATGTGATTCATTTAGGAGCACCCCATCTCCCTTTTCCTCCATTAAACATAATTGTCCTCTCAGTTAAATTGATTCCTCTGTTTATGTAGCCTTTCTCTAAATGAGAGACACTCATTAGAGAAATGATCCACTCTTAAAATAGCTACAACAGAAAGTCATTTTGGTTTATGCCAGTTCATTTCACAAGCGTGACTGAGAATGCAACCATGCAAACAGTTTTCCTGGCACAATGGAGGGATAACTTCTGCATAGGAAAGGGGAGCCATGGATAAGTAGCCCACTTGCAGTAACTTCAATGGGAACCAGCTTCTTTTCAGGGGCACTTGCAGGCAAAACAATCCTAGATTAGCTGTCTGTGCAGTAAGCACAGCAGGCACCAGCTTAAAAAGGTTATAATTACACAAGAGCTGTGGGAAGCCCTTTTGGATGGGGAACCTGCAGAACCTGCTGGGTTCCTGCTCACTTCCCCAGGTGGTATGTTAGGCTCTCATAGACATGTCCCGTAAGTTAGCAGAACACCTGTGACCAGGCCAGTGCACATTACAGAAAAACAAGATCAGGGGAGTAAAACTCAGCTTGCAGACCTTCCATGAGGTCAACCAGAGCACATGAAATACTGTAGACAGGAGCCTCCAGTGACACTAGTGAGATCAGTTATAATCAGAGGGAACAGACACTGCTTCAATAACATGTCCTGTAGCAAGCCCAAATGGGAACTGTCATGTCTTAAAGTGACAGTGAACTAGGTAGAAGCTGTTGATAGTATCTGACCAACTTAGCTACCTACTTGCTGCGCTTTTGAGGAACAGGATCTTTCTTAGCCTTCCTAACTGCTCTGTTCTTTACATTCCTGAGGTGATGGCAGATGAATGGAGGGATGATAGTGCCCTTTAATCGTGGCACAGAGAGCTCTTTTTAAAAATAGAATCATTAATACATGTTCTTTACTTAAGATACTAAGAGGAGTAGCAAGTGTCATTAGGAA